TAATTTTTTTTTCATTCTAACCGACAAAAAGCTATTGGAATATTTGGTTGATGATGGAATATTGGGTATATTCGGGGCAGCCCTAGTAACAAGTCTTATGTAAGAAGTTTGAACTGTCCACAAATCAGTTTTTGACTATATACTGCAGTCACCATTAATTTTTAAAGGGAAAATACAACATTTGCAAACATCAAAAAATAAAACTACCAAATTATTTTGAAATACCTTGCTGGACTGTTAGTGAATGACAGTCTAAAGCATCCTGTAAACTCATGGCACCTGGAAAACTGTCATTTTCAAGAAAAGTGGTATTTTTGTAACAATTTCCAACGCTAGTCAACCGACCAGCGTTGGAAAAAAACTGGCTTTTTTTCAAATGCTGGCCCCAATTAACCATATTTAGTTAGTCCGCATTTGTTTGCAATCGATTACACAGCTATGAACTGGTACAAGCCAGCTAGACTGGTTCCCTGACCTAACAATTCCCCAATGTCTATAAATTGCTCTATTTGATCTAAAATGGAGTCAGGGAACCAGACTACAGGAAAATGATTGTTTTTCTTGGTTTTTATAGCATCTACGAACCCAAAATGTAAAAAAAGTAAGTGTAACAATATTTTCTATATAATACCAACATCCATCCATTTCTGAAAATTACAGCAAAAGCAAATGATGTATATTCCCTTTAACAAGTTATTGTTCATTCATTCGTTAGACATAGGCATTTGCCCGTGGTCTCCTCCTCAAATTACATACACAGTTGGGATCACTGGCTCCGCTCCCACCACAGCCCGTCTTTCCAGTGCTGCTGCTTTCAGTTCGTTGGTGTCACACCTTGACCATTCACGGATGTTGTCCACCCAGCAAGTTATTGTTGTCTTGTCAGAAATCAGAAACATGAGCACTGAGCTTTGCAATACTCTGAACAGGATGGCACAGGTATCATTATTCAAAATAATGAAAGCAATAGTGAGAATAATTGTATGATGTGACATATGGAATCAGTGGCCAGACTCTAAAAAATAAAAAAATAAAAATTGTTGGGGGGCAAAGAAATAGTTTTTGGGGCAGTCAAAATAAAATCTAAAGCCTGTATATGGGCGTGCGTGCCCATTGTCAATGGTCCAGAAATAAGCCACTAGACAACTTAGAAGAGTAGTTGTTTTTAACATAGAGCTGAGAACTGTATCAAACTGCAGAACGGTGAATAACAAATGTACAAAGACAATGTATGGCGTGTTTTTCTACCAAAGTACCAATGTTCATAATGCTTTCATTGGCCAAAAATGTGTCCACATTTTATGATTCTTAAAAGTGAAGAAAATAAAGAAAATAAATTAATCTATTTGTTGATAAAGTGTTGGGAGAAAACTTGGGGTGGGGTGGGGGGGGGGGGGGAGGCAAACTGGGGGGGGGGGGAGCAAGGAAAAAACTGGGGGGGGGGGAATCAATTCCCACCCCCCTACCCCCGCCACTGGATGGAATGTTCCAGTGCACAAATGTGAATCATTCATTATTTGTTTTATACAACGCCTGAATAAATCCTCGTCATCTGATTGGTCAACAAGTGTATGTGGCCATGCAGTGGAACTTCTATTTTTTGTGGTGCATCTTGGCTGTGGGTTAGGATGAATACATGTAATTCAATAACACATTATCAGCAAACCAAATGACAGGGATTTCTTCATTGTATAATTAACAAGAATATCTCGGTGGCGTAGCAAGGTCATTTTGATGGGGGGGGGGGAGGGTTAGACCGCCCTTTTTTGCACGAGTGCCCTTTTTTCACGGTTGCACTTGTGAAAGAAGCGGCACTCGTGAAAAAAGGGGCACTCATTGACAAAATATTGTAAATACCCCCCTGCTGGCTATGCCACTGTGTAGAAGATTTGAAAATAGATAAAATGAAGAAAAAACAAAGGGAATTAATTAATTTTTTAAGTTCTTGATAATGTTTGCTTGAATGTTTGCATAGGAATAAAATCTATCCTATAACTCGATCACGTCAGGTATGAAGTCAATCCTTTTTTTAAATAAAGTTTTTAAACTAAATACCATATTTAGCAGAGTCAATTAAAACAATATATAGAGATTTGCATTTGTTTTGTGTACAAATGCAGGTTGATCTGACAGGCTACCATTTCATTGGAAACCACCCAGTGAAGTTGTGAATATTTTATGTCAGAACAGAGAAAGGTTCACGAAATTCAGTCTTTCCATCAACAACCAATTTGTTTTTAATTAGCAAAAAAAATGCATCTATTAGGGTACGATCAATTTCAGTATACATTTTATGTACACGTACACGTTAGTTCCGGTTTGATGACGTCTTCAATTAAAATGGGCAAAATGAATACTGATTTAGTTCAGAGGTGATACAAGTTCAATATGAAGTGAAAAGAACTTCTGAAAATATGGAAATTATAATGCATGTCAATAACACCTAACTTTTGATTCGATGACCTCACAGCATTTGGAAGCCCAATCAACATTGTATCGAATATCATTATTTGTGCTACGAACATAGTCATTGCACACTGATCAAATGATGGATTAAAAAAAAAAAGAAATTTTCATTTATTTTCAATTTCTCCCTACAATAACTTCCAGTCTGCTGACATCATGATTCTGAAACCTGCAAAGTTGTTTTTGGTTGTCGAAAGAATATCTAAGAGCACTTTTGTGAAATTTTGACGAATGGTTTTTAAATTAAAAAGTTCAACTGTCTTTGATGTGCCGCTAGAGGGTGCCCTTTCGGATGATGACGTCATAAGGCTGTTTTTGTGTGTGTTTGGCATACCTCACTAAACACTTCCATAGTTTGTCTGTTGTAAAATGCTTCCGTTTCAAGGTATTTGTACACTTTTCTATTTTCATTGCACTTCTGGTAACACCAGAAGAAAGGTCAAACGGGTGCCCGGGAATAAAACATACTGCACTAAGCAATGTGTAATTGATCACAAACAATCAACGGTATTCCATTCATTTAAAAAATGATAGTCCGAATAATTATTCAATTTTTGACCTAAAATCGCTTGTAATTTGATACATGATGACATCATCTTCGGACCAGGGTTTGTTTGTTTGTTGGGTGGGGTGTTGGGGTGTTTGTTTGTTTGTTTGTAACTATTTCGATAATTGCCCTGAAAACAGAAATTGCAATTGACAGAAAATTGGAACAAAATTGCTTGTAATTTGATACCTCATGAAGTCATGATGTCAGAGAAATGTGCACATTTTAAACATCAGGAGTGATGTTGGTTCAAAGTGACAAATTTATACCGTAAAGCGTTGAGAAAAAAAGCTGCGAAGAATTATTCTCCGAAAAAATAAAAAAAATAAAGTAGACATTCGCGTTTGTTGAGTTACAAATGCAGGGTGATCTGGCAGACAATTACTTCAGTGGACATTGCCCAGTTAAGTTGTGCATATTTTTGTCAGAACAGAAAAAAAATCAACAAATTCAGCTTTTTCCAGTGGATCCAATTGTTTTAATTTGAAAATAATGCGTCCTTTTAGGTTAGATAATTTTTTTTTATACGTACATGTTACTCCCGGTTAGATGACGTCTTCAGTTAAAAGTTTGCAAACATATTTACTTCAGAGAGGATACATATAATGAAGTGAAAAGAACGTCTGAAAATATGAATTGTACAATGAATGTACACGTGTGTTACACCTAACATACGGTTAATGACGTCACAGCATTAGGGAGCCCAAGGTCAACATTGTACCTGACCTCATTATTTGTTCCATGAACATTGCCAGTGGATACAGATTATATAATATCTTTAATTTAAAAAAGAAAATTGATGTTTCAAATTCTCCCCATTTTAACTTCCTATTCGATTACATAATGTCCAAAGAATATCTATGGGCAATTAAGTAAAATTTTGATGAATGGTTTTTAAATTAAAAAAAGTTCAACTGTCTGTTACATGCCGCGAGGGGGCACCCTTTTAAATGATAACGTCATCATGCTATCATTGTGTTTAGTATCCCTAACTAAACATTTCCATAATTTGTTTCATTGTAGTAAAATGCTTCTGTTTTCAAGTTACATTAAATCCTTATTGCACTTCCTGTAACACGGTAAGTAAAGGTCGAACGGCTTTGTGCTCAAGAATCCAAATTATTGCCCGAGACAATGTCTAACTGATTAACGAAAAATGAGAACAATACTCCATTCATGTAAAAAGTTAAAATTCAAAGTGATTTTTCAAATTTTGACCTTAAATTGCTTGTTATTTGATACCTGATGATGTCATGATGACATCACAATTTTGTCATATCTTCGGACCAGGGCTCAGGTTTATAGTATGAACCTGACTTCATGCTAGGTGTTATCATCATCTTGTAAACCGTGTTTGAAAGAAATTTCTGTTTGTTTTGATGTGAGGGTCATGTATATATTTTGAATTCGCCTAACTGACCTTGTAGCCTTGAAAGTAATGACAAACAGTGGTACTCAATTAATGATCTATTAATTTGATTACAAAATAGGATTATGATTTATCATTTTGTTCAAGTGTTATAAGAAAAAGAAGATGGCCACCTTTTCAACTAAAATCGCTTGTAATTTGATACCTGATGACTTCATCATGGCGTCTGTATGCACACCTCTGGATCAGGGATGATGTTGCTTCAAAGTTACAAGAGTTTATGCCATAAATCGTTAAAAGAAAACCTGCTGAGAATTATTGTCTGGCAAAAAAAAGAAAAAGAAGGAAAGAAAGACGTAAAGAAGAGGAGAAGATTAGTTCTTATCAATTCTAAACGGCGATTCACCCAATAAAGAAGACTTATTCAAAATGTGATCAGGTCATCACCCAACAATGGTTATTTTCCACACAAGCTCAGTGAATGACGAATAATTTGCCTTCTGGGTTTTTGAAAAATAAATAAAATATCAGAATTGGCCTGAATTGAAAAAAAAATGAGATGAGAAAGTGGTTCTTACATTTGCATTTGAATAAAACTAAGAATTGATTTGATTACAGATGGCAAGATTAGAGTTAAGAACAAAGATGATCAGCAGACTTTGTGGAGGGCCTCGCATTGGATGTTTCTTCCTTGGTGCCACTATTTTCTTCCTATCTGCAGTAAGAGGACGCAGGTTAGATGGTTGAGTATTCAAACTCATATGATTTTTGTAGCAGGGGTACATGATGAATTTTGTGCTGTGTTATTACCCCTCGTGATCACTCGTAAAACAACCTTTTTGGTGTAAAGAATGCTGGTTTACCTGTGAGAGAGGAACAACTGGGTTCTGGGAAGTGTAAGGGGGTACCTCAATATTACTAGTGAAAATTTACTCGAAAGCGAACTGAAAGAATAAAAAAAAAGGAAAGGAACAAAATCAGTGTTTTGTTTCCACCAAATAATTATTGGCTCTTGCGTACGCTGTGGTAGAGGGATTGCTGGATGCGTGTTAGTTTTGTGTTTGTTGGGAAGGGGCATAATTGATACACGCAGCCAATGTTCGGTGTTAGAGTCAGATGCCTGGGATGGAGTATATGAGCCCTTTTCAGTCAGACTTGTGTTTTTTTTGAAAGAAGTGTTTTATTTAAATTAGAAAAATAGCAATTAATGATTTGGATTTTATAGCCCGTGATACTATGATGTCCCACCTGTTTTTAATGTTTTCTTTTTGTGAAGGGGGAAACAGCATATTTGCTGTGCTGTTTTGCACTTCAAAAGTCATTGTATGTTTCATTCTTTTTATTTTGCATTACCTCTCTATGCATATGATGGTAAAGAATATTTACATGGGGCCAGCAATTTTGCAATGATCAAGGCAAAGGGATTTCAGCTTTTTGATTTAATGTGTCGCAGTGTCTCCGTTGTTAAACAAAGTTGATCCGATTATGTACTTGGACGCTATAACAGAGCAGTAAATTCATGCATCCCTGTGTGCATGTTGTTTCATTCAAAATAAAGTATTACGTAACCTTTAGAAATCGGCCTTCACAACCACAAGGCTGTACCGATCAGTATACTTGTACTTCAAGTATAGTTCCCTTATGATTTGCACGTTCTCCTCATCCAGTTCTCTTCCTATATTGATCGGATTGAGATGTGTTAATCCTTGACCGAATCAGGTCATCCTTAATGTTTTTGTGCTGTTTATATGCCAAAATCGGCTGGGTTTCAAAGAGTGCATTCAGATATTCATTTTAATGTGCTGAGTATGGGGAAGTTAGTTCTTCAATTTTGTGATATGCCTTGCGTTGAAAAGTTGTTTTACCCAATGTAAAATAATAATATTCTTTGCATTTTTAACCGCAGCTGATTCTGGATATCTATTTAAAAGTGGCACACATTGGCTATGATGGTTAACAATGTCTTAAACTGTCAAGTGGCAGTTCCTGGTGTCGACGTTTTGGACATTTCAACAGTGTGCATAATTATAGTTATATTCATAAAGTGGATTTTTATTCTAATTAGTAACTATAGTATAAGGATTTAAAAAGGAAATTAAGCTTCCAACTTTTTTGCTGTAGTAAACAAATCAGCTGAAAACACCATGGTGTCAGATGTAGGGGACAGTGGGGCAATTTGCATTTTTTGGTTAAATTGACCTGGCGTCTAATCTCATGTCACACGTTCTGAAATGATAAATATGCTGCCCTCAGGTCGGTGTATCTTTGAAGAACATTTTCAAGCCATATGAAGCAAATAGCATACAAATGTAGCGTCCATTTGAACGAGTGAAAAGCAAATGAAAACTGGCTCAACTGACCCCACGGGTTGAACTATGCCACGGGGTAAGTTGATCATACTGTATATGGTAATAATTAAGGTGAAAAAAAAGATATCAAGCTCTTGATTGTCATCAAAGCGACAAATGATGCACACGCAATGTTTTGTCTTATTGACTAAAATGTGTATGACATGTTTTTAATGTCATCAAACTTTGCCAGAATTACTTAAGTTTTCAACACTTTGATAACAACGGGAAGAAATATAAAGAAATATTAAGTCAAATGGGTAAGTTAAATTATACCATAGTCAAACTAACACTCAAACTGGATGAACAAAAATGTTATTTTTTTTTTTAAACAACAACTTTTGTTATTCAAATATGGAATTGGGGCAAGTTGATCCATGGCTCAACTGCCCCATTTTTAGTGGCTTGACTTACCCCACCCTACTCTTTCATATTAATTAGTGTACCATATTTGACACATGCTCAGCACATACAAGTCTTCATGATAATAGCCCAATATATCCACTTATTTCATGCTGCCTATTGATTAGAACAACCTGTGAGTGTGAGGGTGCTTATCCTTTCTGAGAAATTCACTTTTGAAGATAAAATTGTTTTTTCCTTCAGACAACATGCACATTTAACTAAACTGGCCATTCACGCACATCAGAAAGGAATTACACGCACATCAGAAAGGAATTAATGAAGGAGGTCACAAATAGAGGGCAGTATTTTAATATTGTTGCTACTCATTGGCCAGATAGAGGGGGTGGCTCAACTTACCCCGCTCTCCTTTACTCAGCCAAATCGATTTTGTGTGTGTATCCATTTTATAACAAAAACTCTGTGATGCGTTTGGACATGGAGAAATGTTTTTTTTCTAGTTTTTGTAGTAGTTTTATCACCTACTAATAAATACACTTCATGGCAAAACATGTTTTTGTTTGAGTGTGACTTGCCAAAACAACAGTTATTATGGGTGTCGGAAGTGCAGTGTACATTTATTGGTGTTGGATGAACATGTCTTAAATTAAATTACAAAGTAGAAAGAATCAGTTTGAAAATTCTTTTGGCATAAAATAAATGAACCCTTTTCTCTGCCTTAAAAACAAGTTTTTGCCCTAGCAATGTGAAAACAAGCAGCCAAAATGCCTACAGAAATTCTGTAATGTTATCCCGAAGCATTTTTTATTTCTAAAGAAAGTACACTTATCCGTATTCCATCTCACTGGCATACACTCAAATAAATTAATTTGATACTACATGTATGTTTGAGGTTGTGATGCTTGTTTTTGTAGATTTCATACATTTCGCACTTTTCAGCCATGTCCTTTCACTTTTGCATGGAATTGCCCCAAGGTTTATTAGTGTACTATTTCCAATTTAGTAAACAAAGAACTTCAGTCTGATAATAACAAAACAACTGAAATGTGAAAATGAAGATTTATATTTCAAACGTACCGGTACAGGAGGGTGACCTTTTCAGATATTTAATGTCTGGAAGTGTCGGAAATGTAACCCACAAGATTTTGTCAGGAAAGTGTTCAAGACATTCTGGATTCCTTATTCTTTTGGGTACAGATACCAGTTGGCTATATATCATCAGCCTATATGGCATGGTTTGCAAGCACCTGCAATACACTACATGGGAGCTGTCCTTATTGGTCTTGGAGTGATCTTCACTCTGTGTAGTTTTTTTGCTCTTGGATTCTATGGAACATTTCTAGGTATGTACATGTACTGGGTAGTTAACTTGTTAAAGGTAGGGTTGTCATTTTATTCGTTTTGTTTGTTTGAAGCAACAAAGTGCTCAAAATCTAAAGAACGGTGTTTAACAACTAACCTGATGACCTTCAATTCAAAAGTTTTGGTGTAATGACCTGAAATACCTCAACAGAGCTGCGTTGTAATAATTGAAAACATGGAACAAATTTCGCAATAGAAATTATAGGCTTTCCTGCAAAGTTCTCAGAAAAGCCTTATTTTAGGTTCTGATTTCAGCTTTTCTGGCTTTGGCCGGAAACAACTTATTTTTTGGTTGTGAAATTTTGTTTGTTTGTTGGTTTTTCTGCAAACTTTGCTGAAAGCCTTATTTTGATGTACATTACAGGCTTTTTAATTATTATACTTTCATTCTATTTTCAGTTATTTAATTTTGAGTCATTTACATTATGGGTTGCATCTGCCATTGTGATGAAAATTGACAAGATGGTTGCACCTGCAAAAAAAGTACCATGCCAATGAAGTAATTTCAGACATGGAACCCAAAATGTTGCAAAATTGATTGTTGATGGATGTTTCGCTGAAAAGGGCCTGCTTTAAATTTTGCACTGAAAAAATAAAGATTGGTGGAACAATAGAGCATACAGAGTTTTTTATTTTATTTGATTTTAGGGGAGGGTTCAAAACGCATGTATGCACATTATACCAAGCTTTTTAAAATGTTAAATTTCTGTGAAAGCTTTTAGCACATAATCAGATGAAGTGAAACTTAACAAAATATCGTAATTAAAACATATTTGTTTGAAGCTGCTCTTGTTTTTAACCAGTGATAAGATTCAAAGTATTCATGCTTTCTTGGAAGTTGGCAGTCTTTGTATCATTCAATTAAAAAAACCAAAAACAAGTCATGTTCTGGGAAACAACTTTCTAAGAATTTGTTTTCATGAAAACAGTTTTCTTTTGTTTGTATAAACCATAGGTGATTATTTTGGTATTTTCTTGGAGCATCGTGTCAAACGATTTCCCTTCAATTTGATGGAGAATCCCATGTACTGGGGAACAGTAATGGAATACCTTGGATATGCCCTTTGGTAAGTAATTTATGAATAATTTGTTGTACCGATTGCATACAGTGTATTCTCTGAAAGCAATGGAAGTACTCAATCAAATTTTTTACTGGAAATGCATTCAAAGCTAAGGGAGAAATATCACACTTTAAATTCACGACAGCTAAAATTGATTGTGCTAGTTCTTTTTATCTAAGACATTGTTGTGTCTAAGTTCATCCTGTTTCTTGGCAGCCTGGCACTCAGCAACCTCCCGTCCAGTGGCCCCATGCCTGGCAGCCGAGCACCCAGTGGTGACACTCCAAGGAGCATTGCCCCTTACACCCTGTGCACAGCTGCCTTGCACTCCTTAGTTTCCCATGCTAGTTCTTTTTATGCTAGTTCTTTTTCTGGCAGCCTCGCACTAAGCAGCAGTGTGTCCCAGCAACCTCACACCCAGTGGGCCTGCAACCAGCGGTCTCATGCCTGATGATTAGCCCACATCCAGCAGCCCAGTAAGGTCCCCCAACCCGCATCCATCATTATCGTGCTCTTGTGCCAAACAGCTCCATACCCAGCGGTCAGCCGCAGCTACTTTGCGGTCCATGGCCCCATGCCCTGCAGCCTGTACCCAGCAACCCAGTACCCAGCAGCCCAGCACCCAGCACCCATCAGCCCTGTGCCGAGGGGTCTCCTGTTCCCAGCAGCCTCACGCCAAGTATTGCTACAGCTGAACCAAACCAAAACTCACCAAACTTAGCACTTCTGAACCGAACCGAACCGAACTGAAAAATAATAAAAACTTGCACCAAAGAATTATCAAGTCTACTTCACTCTACTTACCTGTAGAGCAATACTACTTATGCATATTCCCTATACCGGCAGGTATTTTACACTAAGAGTTTCATACACTAGCGTCTTCTGGCGTCCTACCCATAATACCACGCGGCAAGCGTGCCTTGTGAGCGTCCTCTTTTCTCTTAGCGGCAGGTCGGGTAAGACGTATACAAATACGCTCCGTATTTTCATCGTTTTTTGATACCCTTTTGCGCTTTTAAGAGAAGTATTTGATTAGAGAAAGTGTATGTAGAGTATAGTTTTGAATTATTGAGTGATTAGTTCATAATTATGAAGCGTTTGGGGAGAACTGATCTGTCACAAACTGGGGGGGAATTTCTCTCCCACGGGACGGACCAAGTTCTCGGGGGAGTCTGCCGTTAACGCTGCGTCGTTACCGCGGCAGCAGTCCCTCGTCCAGCACCCTCAGCCACTGCCGGCTGGGGGCGTTGGCAGTTCCGCCGACCAGTTAAAGGGACCTCGGTCTCCTTCTCCGGTCAATTCAAGTGGAACACCCAAACAAGAGGCTCGCTCCGCCAACGTTCCACCAAAACATACCTCCTGTGCCGGAGCGAAGCCTTAAAAGGGCCGACAGGGCAGGCGTGGCTCGGGTACGAGCGCCGCTTTAGCCTCCGGCCGTTCCCCGAGCGCGGGGCAGCCCAAGGGGACTGACCACCACGCTCCCTGCAGTGGGCTCTAGTCACCCGTGCCCTACCGACACTGTGCCGAGTACCACTGGTTGCTGGGACGGGCTGTTGCACGGGCTATTGGACCGACCAGCGTTCGCTCAGCCCACGGGGCCTGAAGCGCTGTCGGCCGGGTATGCTATGAGCGACGCGGAGCCAGTCGCCCGGGGGTATCCCGGCCCGACGGCCCCCATTCTTTCTCGCTCTGAGGGACCATTCTTGTCCTTGGATTTTTTCCGTTGTTCGGGGGTCCCGGTGCCCCAGGTGTCTTCTGACTTGTAGTCAGACACACCCTGGGGCCGTTCTTCAAAGAAGAGCAAAAAGAAGAAAGCGGATCGCCGATCACGCTGTTCTTCTTCAGATTCTGACTGCTCCTCTGACTGGTCCCACCGGGGCAAACGCTCCCGACGTGAGGACTCGATCTTGAGGTCTGATTTCCTGCAGGCATTTCAGTTGATTTCAGCTACGCTTTCAGCTATGTCTGCAGGCCATCAGGCGGGCCATAATGGCGGCTCCCCTGAAGCGGCGAACCACGCCCCACAACCCTTGGTCTTTGGTCTCGCCTCACAGTCTCCAGTCACCGGTCACGGTTGGGTGACCCATGAACAAAGGGACATACTGCACACAGTTAGCCGTGTTCCGTAGTCCCTCCCTGCAGTGAATGCTTCACAGTCATCATTCATCGGTCACAGTTGGGTGGCCCAAGCACAACGAGATATACCACACGTGGTTGATTGTACACCGGAGGCCCGGCCCACAGCGAACGCTTCATGTGTGTCGGCCATGGGCCACGGTTGGGTGGATCAGAGACAACGGGATCTACCGCACACAGTTATGTGCCGGGATCCCCGCCTGTGTTGAGTCTTCAACCATCGATGTCTATTGTCGCTGAGGGAGTTGCACAGCCACCACTGCATAGTTCTGTACAACTCGCCCCTCCAGACGGCTTTCGTTCACCGGAGTCAACTCGGCCCTCACAATCGGCTGATTCATCCGATGATGACGAAGAGCCAGACCAATTACAGCGGCTGTCCATCACCGAAACGGAACTCTGTTAGTGCAGAGGGACATGATACGGGTACTTCATGTCGGACATGATTGTTTGGCCAACTTCAGTGCCGTCCGACCCAATGAAACGCCTCTCCCTCAAGGGGGAGATTAACTCCCTCCTCAGGAAACGTGCAGTACGCACGCTCCCCCCGGGGGAGACGCGATTGGGCTTCATGTCGACCTTCTTCTTGGTACCCAAGAAGGAGGCCGGCATTTGGCGCACAATCTTAAATTTAAAGCCCCTCAACAAGTTCATTTGGCCAGGACATTTTCGCATGGACACACTCATAATAATACTGGAGTCGGTCCTCACACCAGCTTGGGGAGCCAGCCTAGATCTGAAGGACGCGTTCTTCCACGTTCCAATCAGACAAGACCATTGGAAATTCCTTCGCTTCCAGTATAATGATGTCCAATACGAGTTTATGGTGCTTCCTTTTGGCCTCTCAACCTCGCCCCAAGTCTTCACGCGAATAGTGAAGACAGTCGGGGCCGCACTACGAAAACAAGGGGTGATGATTTTCATGTACCTCGAAGACTGGATCATCATGGGTCCATCTCAGGTAGCCACGTCAGCGGAACCCAACCTGACATGGCGTCTTGCGTCAGACCTTGGTGTGCGCCTGATCCCTGAAGCAGGTTTTTGACAAAGAATCAGTCGGAGGATTTTTCACCTCGTGACATTTTTGTACCAGACATTAAATCCTTCTCGTCCATTTCTTGCGACAAGTTTTGTTGTCCGGTGCGGGCCCTGAAATGGTACGTTGATAAAACAAGGACACTTCGAATGGGACATTCCCAGCTGTTCATAACAACAACTCTGCCATACTGGCCGGACTCACGTGACATGATTGCTCGCTGACTGGTTATGGCCATCAAGTCGGAGGTGGACGCACCAATACCAGAGTCTGTTGGACCAGTCCATGCGCATGATGTCAGGGCAGCGTCCACTTCCCGGGCCTTCTTTAAGGGTGTCTCTATAAGGGATATCACACAGGCAGCATGTTGGAAGACAACCAACACCTTCACTGAGTGCTACTTGAAAGATGTTCTCCAGACGGAGGGCAGAGCAGGGAGAGCAGTGCTGAGAGCGGCTAGCCGAGCCTCATCACGCAATTTCTGACTCGTTTTTTTGTTAGCAAAAGATAATCATTTGAACATCATTTATCGAGGTTGGAGTCATTGAAGCAGCTACTCTGAGCTAAAGGCCAAGGGTTCGAACCCGCTTAAGGGCCCCCACAAAAAAATTGGATTATAGATGCTCTGTGGTGTGATCTGAGGCAATTCCTGACCACTTTAGCCAATATTTACTTGGCAAAAAATAATAATTTGAACATCATTTTCGAGGTTGAGGTCATTGAATCAATTATTTTGAGCTATAAGTGTGGGGTTCGGGGCCTGCTTACGGGCACTGAAAAACTTTGGATTCTAGATGCTCTGTGGTGCAATCTGAGGCAGTTTCATTTTAATTTTTTTTATTGGCTTTTTCGCAAATTTGCGAAAAAGCCTTTCTTTTTGTTCTCATTTTTTTTCTTTCCTCTTCTTCTTCTTCTTCTTCTTCTTCTTCTTCTTCTTTTTGTCGCCTAAATCCATAGACTTTGTACACGTTTTTTTCTCTGTGCCACTGTTGGCATTAATCTTTGTCATACATCATTCAAAGTTACTACAGGCATAGTCCCTATGGCAGAGTTGTATGCCAAAGAGTGACGTCATCATGACGTTACCATGGGTCACGTGACGTCATCACAAACGTGCATATTTTGAAGTCCTATTTCTACAGAACTGTAAGTCCGATTGGGTTATAACTCGGTATGTAGGTAGACCGGGATGTGTTATAGGTAAAAATTGAGGTGACGTCATGATGAAGTCATCGTGCGATTTTATATGATTTTTTGAATTTTTGGACCTTTAAGCCATATCTCACGAACGCAGCATGCAAAATTCAAAATTCTTTTTGTATTATGTTTGTTAGGTAACAGGTATATGTACAAAATTTGGTAAAATGTGTGACGTCATCATGACGTCATCAAAAATGCGATTTAAAAAAAAACATACAAGGGAAAGTCTGATCGTCATGAAACTTGGTAGATAGCTAGATAATAGTACTAGTATGCAAAATCCGAAATGATGTCACCATGACGTCACCGCATGATTTTTTATGATTTTTTGTATTATTTACAAATTCATTCCCCTTCCAAAATTAAACACTTCCTTTCGTTGCATTGACTTCAAGCTTGGTACAAATCAAGACCACAATGCAAAAATGTGCATTGACAAGTGTTATCAAGATGACATTATCGTAAGGCATGTGACGTCATCATAAAGGTGCATTTTTTTAAAGTCGCATATTGAGAATGGTTCAAAATTGCGTATGAACCTAGGCCAATACGTCTGATTTAATATGGATTTATTTCTTTTTGATGATAATATATCTCACATACGCTACATGCTAAATTAAAAAAAATTGTACCGTATAATTTGAAACGTTGTACATGCATAGTATAGGACGTGTTATTGATAAAAAAAAAATAGCGTCATGCGAAAAAAGCCCTATGTTCTGTTGCAAACAGACATAGATCTCTAGTTTTATTTCTTTCTGGTAATGAAACCAAGGATTCCTCAAAAGTACCCTAAGCACTGTAGCTCGAAAGCCTGAAGAAACCTGTAGAGAGAAGACAATGAGAAGAAGTTAAAGTTTTAGAGGTGGGAGGAAAAACCCAGAGGAATAATCTGAGGAAAACCCATGGAATCAGGTAGGGACTGAAAACCAAATCCACATATTGGCCCAGGCGGGATTCGAACCCGGGTCACAGCAGTGGAAGCGAGGAAAGTACTGCTATGCCAACCTGACTCCCCGACCACTTAAACCAATATTTTCTGACCACTTAAACCAATATTTTCTTAGCAAAAGATATGTAGTACATAATAGGGCCCTGTAAATGAGACACACGAGTACAAAAATCTGGGGGGGGGGGACATTTGATATTGTGACCCCCATCCTTGACGCCCATGCGTTATGGGTACCTTCAGGAGTGAGGCCTTACACAACATAACAGGTTGCTGGTTGCTGACTCCTGTTACATGGCTTTTTACCAGGCCGTTTCCCTGAGGCTTCACAAAGGCTGCAAGTAACTCACGCCCTGCCTAACTAGCGAAGTTTCACACAGTTTGCAAGCATACGACCATTATTTAACGTTACACTTTGCACAGGCTGCAAGTAGCTCACAGTGTACTGAGCAAATGAGACTTTGCACAGGCTGCAAGTAGCTCACAGCATACTGAGCGAGTGAGACTTTGCACAGGCTGCAAGTAGCTCACACCGTACTGAGCGAGTGAGACTTTGCACAGGCTGCAAGTAGCTCACAGTGTACTGAGCGAATGAGACTTTGCACAGGCTGCAAGTAGCTCACACCGTACTGAGCAAGTGAGACTTTGCACTGGCTGCAAGTAGCTCACACCGTACTGAGCAAGTGAGACTTTGCACAGGCTGCAAGTAGCTCACACCGTACTGAGCGAGTGAGACTTTGCACAGGCTGCAAGTAGCTCACACCGTACTGAGCGAGTGAGACTTTGCACAGGCTGCAAGTAGCTCACACCGTACTGAGCGAGTGAGACTTTGCACAGGCTGCAAGTAGCTCACAGTGTACTGAGCGAATGAAACTTTGCACAGGCTGCAAGTAGCTCACACCGTACTGAGCAAGTGAGACTTTGCACAGGCTGCAAGTAGCTCACACCGTACTGAGCAAGTGAGACTTTGCACAGGCTGCAAGTAGCTCACACCGTACTGAGCGAGTGAGACTTTGCACAGGCTGCAAGTAGCTCACACCGTACTGAGCGAGTGAGACTTTGCACAGGCTGCAAGTAGCTCACACCGTACTGAGCAAGTGAGACTTTGCACAGGCTGCAAGTAGCTCACACCGTACTGAGCGAGTGAGACTTTGCACAGGCTGCAAGTAGCTCACACCGTACTGAGCGAGTGAGACTTTGCACAGGCTGCAAGTAGCTCACACCGTACTGAGCAAGTGAGACTTTGCACAGGCTGCAAGTAGCTCCACCGTACTGAGCGAGTGAGACTTTGCACAGGCTGCAAGTAGCTCACAGTGTACTGAGCGAATGAGACTTTGCACAGGCTGCAAGTAGCTCACACCGTACTGAGCAAGTGAGACTTTGCACAGGCTGCAAGTAGCTCACACCGTACTGAGCAAGTGAGACTTTGCACAGGCTGCAAGTAGCTCACACCGTACTGAGCGAGTGAGACTTTGCACAGGCTGCAAGTAGCTCACACCGTACTGAGCGAGTGAGACTTTGCACAGGCTGCAAGTAGCTCACACCGTACTGAGCGAGTGAGACTTTGCACAGGCTGCAAGTAGCTCACACCGTACTGAGCGAGTGAGACTTTGCACAGGCTGCAAGTAGCTCACACCGTACTGAGCGAGTGAGACTTTGCACAGGCTGCAAGTAGCTCACAGTGTACTGAGCAAATGAGACTTTGCACAGGCTGCAAGTAGCTCACAGTGTACTGAGCAAGTGAGACTTTGCACAGGCTGCAAGTAGCTCACACCGTACTGAGCAAGTGAGACTTTGCACAGGCTGCAAGTAGCTCACAGCATACTGAGCGAGTGAGACTTTGCATAGGCTGCAAGTAGCTCACAGCATACTGAGCAAATGAGACTTTGCACAGGCTGCAACTAGCTCACACCGTACTGAGCGAATGAGACTTTGCACAGGCTGCAAGTAGCTCACACCGTACTGAGCGAGTGAGACTTTGCACAGGCTGCAAGTAGCTCACACCGTACTGAGCGAGTGAGACTTTGCACAGGCTGCAAGTAGCTCACACCGTACTGAGCGAGTGAGACTTTGCACAGGCTGCAAATAGCTCACACCGTACTGAGCGAGTGAGACTTTGCATAGGCTGCAAGTAGCTCACACCGTACTGAGCGAGTGAGACTTTGCACAGGCTGCAACTAGCTCACACCGTACTGAGCGAATGAGACTTTGCACAGGCTGCAAGTAGCTCACACCGTACTGAGCGAGTGAGACTTTGCACAGGCTGCAAGTAGCTCACATCGTACTGAGCGAATGAGACTTTGCACAGGCTGCAAGTAGCTCACACCGTACTGAGCAAGTGAGACTTTGCACAGGCTGCAAGTAGCTCACAGTGTACTGAGCAAATGAGACTTTGCACAGGCTGCAAGTAGCTCACACCGTACTGAGCGAGTGAGACTTTGCACAGGCTGCAAGTAGCTCACAGCGTACTGAGCGAGTGAGACTTTGCACAGGTTGCAAGTAGCTCACACCGTACTGAGCGAATGAGACTTTGCACAGGCTGCAAGTAGCTCACACCGTACTGAGCAAGTGAGACTTTGCACAGGCTGCAAGTAGCTCACAGCGTACTGAGCGAATGAGACTTTGCACAGGCTGCAAGTTACTCTTTAACCAGCAGTTTCGTGAGGCACAGGGAAGTGTCCCACAAGTAGCAAGCCGCTTACCCCCTATGTATGCTACCATTTATACCGGTACCTACGCCACAAATTACCAACCTGTCAGCGTGATATTTCCCTACTTAGCAAATCCCTTGGAGCCATTGAATCAGCTATTCTGAGCATAAGAATCAAATGTAGGCTACATTTCTTTATTCAGGACGAAAATAGATGGGACGGGGGGGGGGGGGGGACTTGTCAGCAGATGAGAGGACCCAATACCTTGCCACGCCTACTGTTGCTAATGACGTGCATGATCAAATTGCAGCCAACTCTGGTCACAGGGCCTCGACTGCATTCCTGTTTCCAAATGCTGCCCATAACCACAACGAACAGGCACTCCAACCATTCACAGCACCGCTTGTTTGGCTATAACCCACACAGGGTTTTCACTCATGTCAAACTGATTCCACCATTCAGCCGACATGCTTGGCTCCATCTTTTACTGTCTGGACAACTCACTAGGAGCAGTTCTCAGTTAGCTTATACCTGGTACTCAAATTTGACGTCACAGCATAGAGAAACGACTGGCAGCAATTCTTGATGCCATATTTCTGCCAACCGATGGAGCTCACAAGCGTCTGAAGTCCCTTCCTTTCCAAGGGCAAAACCTCTTTGCTGGCCAGTTTCAGACTAGCAGGCAGGCTGAAGCTGATCGTATAAAGGCTTCGGAAAGATCAATTTGGCGAAGGTTTGTCCAAAACTGGGTCTTTCAACAACAATAGCTCTTTTCCACTGTTCTGGGACTACCTGTTCAGCGAATGATGAATTGATGATGTGTGTCAGGGGTTTAGCAAACTCGTAAGAATCCTCACGGATAAATCTGGCTGGAATGTTATAGGGACCACATGCCTTTGACTTCATTATTTTGTTCAGTTTACGGAATACATCCCACGGCTGAACTTCTGGAATTGATTGCGATGGCAAATAAGACGGAAGAGGTGCCCTGTCGAGTGGGTCAATATCATCGCTCACTGCAATGAATTTCGAGCATATCGCTTGAGCAATGGACTTGTGGTTTTCTGGTTCAACATTTTCACAGCTATTTGTCGTTTTGTTCTAGCACTGGTTGTCATCATGTGGATTTCACAAAACCAGGCTGCTGGATTGGATCGCTTGAGGCGTTGAACTCTGAGGGTGTAGTGTCTCTCTTTGGCGAGTCTAATCTCGCATTTGACCTCGTTCGTATTGCCAAAGTACTGTCTTATGCGTATGAAAAGCTCCCTGACATTTCTGCACGAGTCCAAAGCTTATATAGCGTACACCCCATGTGCTTATGTCATTTTGAAAAAAAATTGGAGTCCAACCCCCCCCCCCCCCCCCACATTGTTTGAATTTACGGAGGCCGGGTGAAAAAAGAAACGTCTGCCATTTTTGCATGTAGGATTTGTCTGCCTGATTTAGGTGAACACTTTCTAGTTGAAATTTCTCAGACAATAAGAATAAATAAGACTGGAAATAAAAATGGGACGCTGCTTCGTAGCTGACTGTAGTCATCACTCAGAACACAACGGATTCTGTTATGTTTTCTTTTCCAATGGATAAAAATAAATACACAGTGCATATCGCTACGTTACGTTAGTCCAGGTTTGTGTGGATACATCACCCCAGGCAATGCGTGACCTTGGCGGCGTATGACATAAACCAGTTGTTCTACGGCATATATAGGGCTGTTAACAAAACATGTTATTTCATATTTACCCCTGATCTTTGGGCCCATTAAATATTCCTATATACTATATTCCTGTTTTGAATTGATGAACAAAAATTCCATTTCTATGTAATTATCAATTGAAGTATAATAAACTGATTGCCATTTCTTTGTGCTTTCAGGTTTGGACCAAGTCCGGCTGGTTTACTTCTTACATTGCTGTTAGCAATATGCTATAAAATTGCAATTTTGATTGAAGGGCCTTATACAGAGAAAGTATACTCCACTTATGTCGTTGAAATTGAGGACAAGAAACATCAGTGATTGGTACTGTAACCCTCCAAAACCTAGTCTAATGATCCACCCTGTTTTTGAAGCAGTTCAATTAATAGGTTATTGAGTACAGATTGCTTTGGTTTCTTGTTCAGAGTTAGATTGGTGGATTTAGGATGGCAATTTAAATTCTGGGGTATGGGAAGTTAAACATGATACTAAATCAATGAGCTAATACTTTAAGGATCATGCTTTTGTTTTAACTTCCAACCCCTCACAAAAATGATGTTGCTTTTACTGAACAATAATAATCCAGTGTCACTATTCTTACAAATGAAATAATTTTCGTTATGACATACAGGGTGAGTCAAAAAAGCGGAACCCAAACCCCCAAAATTATATTTCATATTTAAAAAAAGTAGCTTATGAAATTGGCTTTCCAGTCATTATTATTATCTTAACAGCGAAGAAAGTAAACATAATTAATATATTTGTTGATAAAGTGTTGGGAGAAAACTGTCGGGGGGGGGGGGGGGGGGGGGGGGAAGGAAACAACTTGGGGGGGGGGGGAGGGGGGAAATGCCCCCCCCCAACACAAATATGTCCCACATACCAGCCAATTAAACATATCTCATTTGTATATTTGTTTTGATAAGACATTTTATCATTACAATAAATGATCAAATGCTTTACTCTCAGAATTTCTCAGTTGGTGTTTTAATTCACTCATATGTGAAACAATGCCTAAGAAATTGCCACAGACTCACACTTGTATATCAAACATCAAATTAATTGACTGAGTGTATATTACAGTTCACAATAAAAGATAAGCTGTGATACATACAATTTACTTACAAGCTTTGCTAATGAAGTCCCTTTGTAGACTTCCACTGTATGGAGACACACTGTACATGCATGCCTATATGTTTCATGTGTAAAGATTTACTGCACAAAATGCCATTGCAAATTTGTTGCAACACAAGATCCCAAGCTGATCAAGAGCAGCCAATCAACTGCTGAGTTGGCAAACTTTTTCATGAATATGCATTACCTGTTGGTAGTACTATGCAGGCCGTGTGTGTACGTGTTCATCTTTTCAAACTGTGGACGAAAAATACCAGAGAACAAAAGAGAACAATATCGTCCACGATTCCCAGCATACGTCCGCGATTGGGGTTGTGTACAAAACCTATGGGAGTCTTCCTAAAAAGAGTACAAACAAAAGAGGGACATTAGGACGTCCACGATCGACGGTGAACACACGTTTGTGTGTGTGTGTGTAAAGCTGTGAGTGAAGTTCCAAGTCACAAAAGGACAATGCACTTAGTGGCCTGCCTAGACAATTCTTGCATCTTTACTGCGTATTTTTGCATCACTGAAAATCAATAACCTGGTAACAGTACATTGTGTATGCCTGCGTTTGTTTATGGTGTAAATCAAGGACACACACGTGCTACATCATCGGTGAATCGAGGACAGGAACCAAATCGAGAACAACCTCCATTAGAAAATGTGTACAAATCCAATGAGAGCTGTTACGAAAAAGTTAGCAAAGGAAAAGGGAAGAGGAACAAAAGAAAATCCTCGATTTACACCATAAAGAAACGTGCTAGTGTGTGTGGATGGGTAAAGGTTTTTCTTGCACAAATGGCAACACACAATTGGGTAGAAAATAGAAGATTATGCACACTTTTAGCTTCTCAGGTAGGAAACTTTTTCATGTCTGTACAGTATTTAACAGCTTTCTGTCCATGCAAGTATGTACAGAATTTGGTCAGGATTTCTTGTCAAAAGTGCAATTTCAATTTTTGTGAAAAAGACAGAATTGTAAACAGGATCCAATGTTAATTTATGCATCTGTGTCAGCCAATCAAATAAAGTTTGGACCAATAAGAACTTATGTTACATAAAACTTGCAGCCTATGGGGCAGCTTCTTATTCTGATGGCTGGTTTTATTGGGAAAAGAAAGTGCAACTTTGTGCTCACTTTGTCACAGCCCTTTGTGTAAAGCACAACGGGAAAAATTTACTTGTAACTTGCCCACCTCCACCCCATCACTTCCATTCAAAGGACACTTTTGTGGGACAGATATAAGCAGTACTGCTTTTTGCCGTAGGATTTAAAATCTAGTGCCTTATCTAATATCTAATTGCATTGGTTTCCTGGCTGTCTATCATAAGCCATTATTCCTCCTGCTGGTTAAGGGGAAGATCCTACCTGTATTTGTCTGGTGTGCCCATCAGGGTCTGGCATGCCCTATGTACCAGGGTCGTGTGCCCTAATATTCAAGGTATGGTGTGACCTATATACCGTGGGCCCCAGTGTGCCCTCTTCATGGCTGGGTCTGGTCAACCTAGGGGGTCTGGTGTGGAACCACTATATTGTATTTATTTGCCAGTTTGCCCATGGTATCTGGCAAATGCAAAATGTTGTGTTGAATAAAAAAGAGCTGTGGAATAATTACAAACAACTTCTGTGTGTGTGTTGCATATTATATCAGTCTGAGAATAATTACTACATATTTTTAATATTTCTTTAATTTTGGTCCAGATCATTCTGACTTGCCCTGTAGTGTGCTGTTTACTACATTTGTAATAAGTGGTCCTAACAGGAATATGTTAGGCGCTGTGATCTTGGTAGAGCGCGTTATAAATATTCTGTATTATTATTATTACTATTATTATCGATAAAGTAAATGTCCAATTTTATAAATACAAATACCAGCGCTAGAACTTAAAGGGAATATACAAGATTAGCTTTTGCCATAATTTTCATAAAATGGATGGTTTTGGGGCTAGTATTTTACAGCAAATATTGTTTCACTGACTTTTTTGCTGGTGTGGTTGCTAGAACCCCCCCCCCCAAAAAAAAATCATGTTCCTGTAGTCTGGTTCCCTGACCCCAAGGTCAGCAAACCAGTCTTGCTGGACTATTGCACCCTTTCACGGGTGTGTAACCAATTGCAATCAAAATGTGGACTGACTACATTTGGTAAATTTGGGGCAGTAGTTAAAAAAAGTCGTTTGTTTTTCCAAAGCTGGTCGGCCGACCAGCGTTGGAAATTGATACAAAAATACCACTTTTCTTGAAAATGTCAGCACACCAGGTGCCACTATTCTACAGGATGCTTTAGACTGTGAGTTACTAACAGTCCGGTAAGGTATTTCAAAATAATTTGCAAGTTTTGTTTTTTGATGTTTGCAAATGTTGTATATTCCCTTTAATAAGAAAACCTATGTACAAGATGAAATTTAACAGTTTATTTTAATGTTGCAATGCATCTGGAATGGCACACTAAGATGTTCAGTTCAACTTTCAAAAAAATGTACGTCATGTCCCTGACATTTCACTGTTAAAGGGAATATACATCATTTGCTTTTGCTGTAATTTTCAGAAATGGATGGAATTGGGGGGTTGGAAATATAAAGCAAATATAGTTACACTGACTTTTTGGAGGTTTTGGGTTCGAAAGTGCTATAAAAACCAAGAAAAACGATCATTTTCCTGTAGTCTGGTCCCCTGACTCCATATAAGAAGAAACAGAGCAGTTTACATACATTGGGGAATTGTAAGGTCAGGGAACCAGTCTAGCTGGCTCGTACCCGTTCATAGGTTTGTAATCGATTGCAAACAAGTGCAATGGTCAATTGGGGCCAGTATTTGAAAAAAAAGCCAGTTGTTTCCAACGCTGATCGGCTGATCAGCGTTGGAAATTGATACAAAAATACCACTTTTCTTGAAAATGACAGTATACCAGGTGCCATAATTTTACAGGATGCTTTAGACTGTCATTTACCAACATCCTATTAAGGTATTTTGCAAAAACTTGGTAGTTTTATTTTTCGATGTTTGCAAATGTTGTATATTCCCTTTAATATGCAAAAGTGGCTGAGTAAAATATTTTAATGAAAATAAAGAAGTCATCCAAATACATAATGAAATCTATATTGTCAGCTTGAAAAGAAAAGGTAGGGATTTTAGAATACGAGCAAAGATGACCTTCCTTAAGTAGCTTCCATAGTAGATCCTTCACTCATGTTCAGTGTTCCATTATTTCATGAACAGGTCAAGTTCCTCAAATATTGTGTAGCTAGTGATTTGGAAAACTTCTCTAATTTGTAAGAGCAGATTATCTTATTTAGAAAAAAAAACCTCTTTGGCAGTTTTAAAGTCAATAAAACCATGCAGAATACACACAGTTTACCAGATGTGTGTAAAATTTCTTTATTCGTGTGAAATTTTATGGACAGAACTTTTTTTGGATAGCTCACGTAAAGATAAACTCAACTCGGGTGAACATTCTCACCCATGAACGTGCCGCTCCTCTATGTTGATCTTTACATAAGATAAGTTTCTAAGTCATTTTTTTTGTAAATACAAGAATTTTCTGCTATGAGGCCCCTATGTTGTGACAGCCTGAATGTTTTGGTAATTGGTGTGCGGTGTGACATGCACACTCCTTAGGGGGGGGGGGGGGAAACAATACCTACCTTCTGCTGTGCAAACTATACGCAGTCTTTGAAAAGGATCGGAGGGAATGTATGCGAGGTGCATGAGGTGATAAACTGTGGCAGCACTGGCTTTACAACAATGTCCTTTTTGTAACTTGCTAACCCATACTTCTTGTGAAATGAAGGGTATGTAAAATGCGGAAAGTAAAAAATAAAAATGTTCAGGATTAATATTTGTATGACTATGTCTTGAGCTTGTTTACAGAATATAAAAATAACAAAACTATTTTTAAAGTTACGTTCCCTGCGCTAGTTTCATCCTGAACAATATATTCCTTTTCTAAATGGCTATTGTCTAGCAATACAAACGGTTGTTCACTTTGAAACTAGACATCGACTGAAAAAAAAATGGCCTTATATTGAAGTAATTCTTTACAATTTCTAATTATTGGCTGCCAGAGAATAATTCTCACGGTAAGCTGGTTCCCGCCCCGCAATTGGTATCAATAATATATGGACCGGGAGCTAGTCTGATCGCAAAGCAGATCTCTTAGTGGCCAAAAACAAACCCCTTTTTTTCAGAGGGTTGTGGACGTCCAAGAAGTCCAAAAGGAGGTTTTTTTTGGTTGGAATAAAACGGGTACACAAGTTGAAAATTTATTGATAGGAAAAACAATTGAATATGTTTAAGAGCACAGGAAATGCAACTTTAAGTAATGGCATTTAATTAAAAGCTTAACGTGTTATGTTTTCTAAATTATTTGCCAGGCTTAATCTTCATTATTAAAGTAGTAAGTATACATGTATTTAAGTTCTCATGAGAATATTTAAAGCCAGAGTCCATCATTTGCAGCTTTCCAAAAAGTGACTGACATAATTGGTGATGGAAAACATACTTGGTTGAAAGATTGTAAGGAGACTAAACTCCTTGTCAAATTTTTCTTTCTGGCAAGCTGTCATTTAGAAGAAATCAACGAAAGAAGGCCTTTCCAACGGTGCTTCTTAAGAAGAACCGTAGGAAATTTAAATTAATTGTTTGTTTTGTTATTTGGTGAAGCGCGCGCAAGCATTGGCACGACGCACACGCGGTTTCTATAATTCGTCGGATCAGTGCGCGACATGACATCGCGTAACTGCAGTCGGCTGTGAGAAAGTGTATCGGACGCTGAATTCAGGCCCAATTCAAAACATGATTCAGCAACTTTTGATTTGAAATTGAGATCCTAGAATGCTGTTTTTCTCGGAATATACAGCTGAAGCTGAGCTGAAACTTCATCAGGTTAGTTGTTCAGTACCCTTCTTTAGATTTTGAGCACTTTTGTTGCTTCAAACGAACAAAATGCACAAATTACAAATGATGGACTATACCTTTAAGATCTTTTCAACTTTCATGGAATTCATTCCTTTGCAGTAAAGAAAGTAAACAAAACATGGCAAAACAACAAAACACATTCACCTTCAGTTAAGTTTGACGACAGTTACAAAGATGGCACATTTATTCTCTAAACAGAAGCCTATTTACAATGAAAGATGCCGGGTGATAATGAGAGAATAACCCAGGAATATCCACAGAACCAAAAACAGAGAGAAAGAGAGAAAAACAACATGAGTAATGAGGCACAGTTGTGGTAGTTATCTATATAATATATTACTCAGTTCATGGTTCACGCATATATGATACATCTGAATCTTAACAGGCATTGTTTGAGGTATAAATAGGATATCTAGAGAATGCAAAGTATCATGTTAAATAATTCTCCTCTTGAATAAGTGCGTTTTGAACCATGTACATTGTACTGCTAGAATGTATGACGGTATGCATGTTGGATCAGGATATGGCATGCAACACTACAAATTTTCAAGAACTTTTTAAATTGATATCTTGTAAAGTACAAGTCTGTTCTTTCTCAATGCCAATTTACTAACCAGTAAACAGTTTCAAAAGCAACCACAAAAACAAATTAAAACTAGAAGAATAAGTCAAGTGGTAAAAGTACAAAATAAGTAAAACGGAAGTATCACTTTTCCAAGTTGAGTTTACGAAGTTGACATCTTTGCTTTGTCTTCCACATGAAGAAACAGATAAACAAGTACAGTGAGAATTGGCCACGTCCAATCAACATAAACAAGGAAGTTACTCATCGACCTAAATCATTACAAAATGGAAGTGCGACTTCAGATGCATGTTTGTTGCCAAATGAAATTCTTATTAACATAATTCATGTAATTGAAATGTTAAATGAATTAAATTTACATTAGTGCCACATATTGTGATAAATACATTTCTTAATTGGCAAAAGATGCAAATATATTATCCCAAGAGAGGATTATCTTTACTATCACTCTTGAAATTTTATTGTCTTGAACACTTAAAATGTGATGACCTTTGTACATTTTAAATACACTTAAGACGAAAATCCTTATGCATGGTATTTGATACAGATACGTTAGAGGTTATGTATTGCGGGTATCTCAGAGGGTGTTCTTTATTATTTCTTATTATGTAACAATGAATGCACAAAGGATTTACTGATGCCTGCCCAAGCCATACAAAACCATTGCCCTATGCCTTAAAGCATAAGGGCTCATATATGCAGGGCATTTAAAAGAAACAGTGTTTGTAGCAGTAACACATATTTAAAAGGTAATAACACTAATTGGCCTTGACTTGGGTTTAGACAATGAGGAAGTTGGCAGTTGCTCAGATATTAAGTGTTATGTTTGGTCTACAGCATCACACTTAATATTGTTCAGAAGTTTAATAATTCGTTGAAATGCTGATATTGCCTCACATACTGCTTCACCAGTTGTCTTGCAAATCAACTTCAAGCAAACCCATGCTGATTAAGACCTGCACACTAAATCAGGCACTCGTCACCGGTCTGCATGTGAAGTATTTATACAGCAATAAAAGTACCCTACAAAAATAATGCATACAATCTTTTGATATTAAACAGTAAGCGGTTGTGGGGAAAAATACTCTTTTGTTGGAAAACTGGTGAAAGTGAATGATATATTCCAGCATGTTTTCTCCTTTTTGTCATTTTCTCCAGATCAGCAGAAGAGGGTTTGTTGGACTTAAACACGTTCCAATATGGTAGAGTCAAGAAACCTTCCAGCCATCCAATATCTAGGACCCGTCAAATCTAATAACCAAAAGCAAACTTCTGTTGTGACACACCTTACATTGCTCTTAGTTGTCCACATACCAGAACTCACATTAGACTTACATTTTGCTGTATTAGAAACTCTTTCAAAATATATTATACAACAGCCTGCCATGAAAAGTCCCTTTAAAACTAAAATACATCAATTTGCCAGTTCTTCATTTAAGTTACCTTTATGTTCCCGAGTGAAATTTGCATGCACACCATTTATTATTTCTTACTGTGCAGTTGGAATTTATGAACATGGTCAAAAATGTGCCCCAGATGTCAAAGATCCTGCTTCATCAATATAGTCAAGACAATCTGAACCTCTCCTACCTAATTCATTGCAACTGAACTTCAGTTTGGGTGTGCAGCTTTTCTTTTATTTATCAGGTTATTTATAGAACAACTCTTTAGCTGTTTGTCTGAAGAATATTAACTCCTCATTTGACTGAAAGTCTAAATTAAAACAATCTCCAAATATCAACTATCAAATGGTGCAAATGATCACTATTAATCACAAATCTACACGCGTTTAATAAACTGAGGAAATCAAAGTGGTAGTCATATTCAATAAGAATGTCCATCTCCATCTTCCATTCTATTCCACCTGTGATGACCACAAGTACATCCCAGGTGTAAAGTGTGCACTATTATTACAACTAAAAACCAAAACAAAAGAACAAAGCCAACTAGTCTACATGTCACTCTAACTGAAAGTCCCCTGGCAACAATTTTCAAGTTTCATTTATATAAACAATTCCCAGGAAAGACAAACTTACTTGTGATGGGGTGGAGGGGGGGGGGGGGGAACACTGTTCAGTGTATTTCTTTTATTGACATGCAGTTGTGAATCACTACATGTTCAGGTAGAAACATCCTGGCCACTTCCTTTGGATGCAAGAAGTGATGTCATTCTTCCCATTGGTTTGGTATTAAAAACAAGATTTAAACAAAGCTTTCCCAAAAGTGTATTTCAATTTCCACAAACTGCCAAAATTTAAGAATGTCCCTTTTAAAAGTAACAAAGTATTCTAAAAAGTAAAATAAATACAAAAACAAATTAACCTTGTCTACTCCAATTTCTACACCATTCGGTAAAAAATATTTCTTCAAGCTTACTACAATTCTGTCATTGTAAAGAAAGTCAACTAGATCTACATTTGTACAGCCATCACGTACAGGTACCAAGGCCCTTCAATTATGTCTGGAAATAGTGGGCTTTGAGGGAAATTATTCCACTTTACCATGACACCATCTAACCCAACATCAGAAAGAAGTGTTGAAGGAAAGCCAGCATCATTATAACAAAAGGCATCATTATACTTGATGTCCTAACAGACACCCTAAAAAATACTGTAGCTGCTTTTCAGATGATATTGAAACCAGCAGGTTTTATCTGACATGTCATTTATACTTAATTCTTACAGTTAAGCTGATACATCATGTCCAATGTTGACTGGTAAGCATCTTAGTTAAATATATTCTTTCCTTCGTTGCCATGGATGCAAAGCACTTTTTCAAATACACACTGGACAGTCTAACCTTAAGGTCTTGCTCTGCTCACAATAGGTTTGTCTGGTGTCTAACAGTGGTGTCTAACAGCAGATGCAATACCTTAAGAGTCACAGCATAACAAGGATATACAGCATGCAACACCATGAGAAGAATCTGTAGTATAATAAGTCATTCAGGGATGTGGTCGAGTCCATCACAAGTCATTGAGTCCCCAGTTCAACTCACGAGCTATTCCAATGAGCTTTGACTGAGGCATTCCTTTGTTTACAGTCCACTGTTACTTGTGACTGACTTGTGACTGGACTCAACTACATCCCTGAACTAATTCAATCTTGGTTTGTCATGATTGCCATAAGGTTAATCAATAAAAAAAATACACAAAATATTCAGGTCTTTAATAATAGCATATATATTTATATATTATATATGCAATTTGAGACACCATTTTATTTAAAATATATCTTGTGGTATGAAATGGATGTTCCATCATAATATCTGACATATCAAGTTTACTCGAAATGTAAAAAGTGGCAATAATGTAGGCCTACTATATCTAACCATAAAAGTAGAAGTTCATGTTATACATGCCATACATTACAGTATGATAGAAATGTGCGTTTGTTTTCATGATGCTCTTTGCTCCTAACACCCAATATGGAAAGCATTCACACCAAAAACAATGCCACAATCCTGCATTGCCTGCACTTTCGAATAACACAAGCATATTAGACACATGTATTGAAACTGTAACATCTCAGTTCAAAGCAGGGGATTTTGTTTTTTTCAAAGACACTTTGACATGTTTTTATCCATACACTGCAGCACAAAATAATATTTACAGAGAATTTATTAATGTACCAAGATAGAACGGCACATAATGAATACAATTTGGCAAAGTCGTGCTGGTGATGTTTACGATGGAACTATAGATACGTGTTGAATGACAGACTGAAATGATGCAGCATATAGTATTTGTCATGGTTGTGGTCAGGTCAACTGTGATAAGCCCACTAATTCCTTCATACATGTTCACGATTGACAACACCTTGAAACCTCACAAGCAGGGTATCTTCCTATGTAACCTGTTCAAGATAAACAATATCTTCAGTCGTGAATCTGGTGTCAACTAGCAGTACTCCCACTTTACAACAGACAAATGGTTTATAAAAGACACCCAAAATACTGTACAGCTTTAAAGAAGCTCAAAAACATATCATTTGTATTAGTTTATGTACTTTGAGACCAAAAGGTTTGGATTGAAACCTGCACATCAACAACAGCAGCTATGACACTTGGCTTCTAGAATGCTCAGCTATCCAATGGTTGATGCTACGTGTATCCAAACCTGCTTGCTAGCTTCCTTAGCTTCTACGTACATCAAACTCTTAGCATGCTCACCCATTCAACAGCTCTTGCTAAACCTTGTTACGCTCCCTGAAACTCTTCAATTAGTCAATGAGTTATTGTCATTCAATCATTCTATATGGACTGACCTCTTTAGAATCGCATTCACTTTATGGTTGTTACATGGTTCTTGCTACATTCGTTTAGTGTAAGCCTCCTAGGTGGCTGATTTATCCACCAATTGGTACTATAGACATAAGCCTTTAAAGAGAACCTGATTGTTGTAGCTTGCACTGCTACTTTTTGAGGAAGCTCTTGTCAATGTGAACATCCAATAGTCCTTGCATGCTACACAGAAGCTCTTATAAGGATGGTTGATTGTGACATCCTGAATGAAGCGTTCACATCCAGTGTTCATAGCTCAATGTTAATCCAAGTTGCTCCTCTGTCAACCACTTTCCCAGTTCTATCACCAAACTTTACAAATCTCAAAGCTGTTGAGCAGGTGTGACTGTGGTATATACGTCCTGTAGTTCTGTGCCAACTCCAGTAAAAAAAAAGGTATCTGGAAGATGTAAACAAAAACGGGAAAATTTGTTACATTTGAACTTCTGCAAATTGAAGTAAAAAGAATGAATTTTGACTTTTAAGTCCCTTAATTTACGACAAGTTTTTGCACTGTGAATGTATTTGAACGGCAAAGAGAGACACAGGACATGAAACAAATATGGCATTAAAATGCATGACAAATTGAGTGCTCTCATTCCTCCTGCTCTAACATCTGACAAAAAACTTATCACCAGCATTGTCATTTCCACATGGTACAACACAATTTGAGGGAGGCAGCATCTCTCTTTATGTTAACAAATGTTTGCTTTTGTGTGTTGTTTTCACCTCTGGTGCTCGTAATTCAGTAAATTGAAACTACATGATAATATTAAGTTAGTGGATGCCTAGGCTAGCCATTTACTTCATTTGAAGTCTGTTGACAAAATGAGACAAATTGTTCAAAGTACCTGTTAAGTTTGACAGACAGAACAGAAACACTCCAAGACAAAGTAATACACTTGACCCCAACAACTTAACTAACACAGATATTAAACAAAAATCCAATCAGGAAAAACCGACAGAAACTTGGATTGACTCTTGATTAAGAATTGACCAAATTATTTGGTCTAAAAGATACATACTTGTGTTGCAGAACTCATAAGCTGGCAGGTTGCCTGAGGTTACATGCAGATCCAGGAGATTGAGACATATAACTTGGGCTCCAGCTGCAGAAATCAAACATTATAATAGCCTTATAACTTAAGCAATTGCTACACTACCATTCATTCATAATATGACAATACGGCATGTTGATTGGAGTGGTTTGGGCCAACTAGATCTTGAAATACCAAAGTTACACAATAAATGTTAACAAGGCTTTAACAGGTTTTGTATCCAGACGCTTACATTGTATTTAATTATGAACCCAATCAGAAGCGTGTTCACTTATTTCACCTTAGGCCTTAGCAAAGTCTGTTAGCAATGTCGTTTCAAACTGTACATGTTTCTTTGTAATAGTTGTACAATATTTATAATAGTTGCTTTACGATCATGCAGTAATGCTTTTATTCTATTTCATTGAGCTGTATTGAATTTGTAATGTATTGTATTTGTACATATGTGTAGTAATTCGTTATGCATGCAGGGCCCCAAAGAAACCAGTTTTAAACTGTTTGGGCATACCCTAGGTAAAGAAATGTAATAAATAAATAAATAAATAAATAAAGCAGTTGCTTGAATGAGGGTGGTGTAATTGGCCTGCAATGGTACATGACCTGCTTCATGTCAGGTCAAGCCATGCACAGCTCTCATCCTTTTCAAGGGTGACACCTTGGATAACACTTTGGAATCCTACCCAAATCCTTAACTTTCCCTTTTGATCAATGCCATACAGTTTTGAATGCCATACGTTCTTCTGAGAATACCCAGCACCCATGCAATGGGTCAGTAATGGATTCTTTGTTTATGCTTATAACTTAACAAATATTAACAGCAGCCATCAAGTACACCAACAGACACTGATATCAATTGAGAGTATTTACCTGGACCCCATACCAGGGGGTGAGTTGATTGAGTCTGAGCTTGGTGGCCCACCTCCTCCTCCACCCATGTTCCTCTCTTCAACTTTCTCTTCTTCTCGTCTCTTAAGGCACGCTGCTTTAGGGTTCAAGTTGCGCTCTGTTAAAAAAAAAAACAACAACATAAATTAACCCCATACACACTATAAGCAAAGAATCAAACCTCTTCATGATCAATTGACCCTTTGCCAATCTATAATGCTACCTGGCCAACATACATGAAAAACAGTAGATTGACCTACATCCGGTTCGTTAGTGTGACGTCATCACAACGTAACCATGCATACTTCACACAGTGTAGCATAGCACGACAGGAACCGGAAGTTAATGCAACCTGAGTGTTCAGTGGTGTGCGCACGTGTACGACGTTTTTACTAACAAAACAGATAACCAGAGATTCAGGTTTGTTGAGAGTTACAAACCCAAGGTGATCTATTTCATTAGACACTGCCCAGTTTAGTTGTGAATATTATATGTAAGTTCATTTTATGTTAGACCAGAAAAGAAAGTCTGAAAAATAACAAAATTACGATGAAAGTACAAGTGTATGTATTCAAAATACCTAACTTCCGGTTTGATGACGTCAATGTATTACGAAGCCTAAGGTCAACATTGTACCTGATATCATTTGTGACCTACTGAGGCAAAATGAGGAATGTACCCCCAAAACCCTGTTTTGAGAAATTAACGCCTGAAGTCGAATATACTAGAAAAAAAATTAATGTCAAAATCGATATTGATTGTTTTGCATTTTTGAGAAGCCAAGGTATCCACGATTCACACTATGCATTTTTGTTGGGAAAAAATACCCACACAAGTGGAAAAACTGAAGAACATTTTTCACTGCAGTTGGCGGCGCAATGCTTGTCTTTTTTTTCAAAGCCACTTCCAAATATGAGGTAAGCGAAACTTGGCAGGACACTGTTGAAGTTCCTTGGTCATATCTTTGGATTAAATTAAGCTCTAGATATAAACTTGGTATCATTGGAAAGCCAATGATTTAAGCTTCAACATGATGTACATAACGTGAAAAGTCAAAGGTGGGGGGTCATTCCTCATTATGTTATGGCAGGTCACATTTGAAGCGTAGCCAGTGGGGGGGGGGGGGGGGGGGAGGGCATTTACCCCCCAATATTTTGTAAAGACTGCCTTTTTCCATTCAAATGCCCTTTTTTCAACGGGCTTAACCCCCCCCCCCCAATAATTTGTAAAGAGTGCCCTTTTTTTCCTGAACAAGTGCCCTTTTCAAAAAAGACGTGGTGCCCTTTTTTGAAAACCATGGTACCGCCCCCCCCCCCCTTTGATTTTACGGCCAAGGGTCCGGAGAAAAAAAATACCTGTCTACATTTCACAACGGATGTGCAAGTGCCCTTTTCAAAATTGTTTACCCCCCATAAAAATGACCGTGCTACGCCTCTGGCACCCTTTCGTGTAATGACGTCATGATCATCATCATGCCCTCATTAGAGTTTGGCATACCTCACCAAAAAATGTCCATAAATTATTTGATTGTAGTAAAATGCTTCCGGTTTTCTTGTCATGTTCAATTGTTCAATATGTCACGTATTGCTATGCCATATTGTGGCATTTCAGAATGGCGATTATCGATGCGTCAGTGAATCGTTACACCCCTAGAACCACCTATAGAGCATGCAAGCATGGGCCTCACCAGTATTTTTTTGTAGAGGGGGGGGGGGCAAAGCACTCACCAGAAGAGAAGGGGGAAATCACTGGCTGTAGAAGAATTGCGAGGGGGTCGTAGACACAACCAGTGTCCGTGTCACGCGTAGCTGGTCGCATTTCTCGTCCACACAAACTGACTGTAACGCGAGGCTTGCGAACGATGGCCGTAAATAAGGCTTAAGAAAATTTGCCATTTTCATGCCAAATGACAACAGATCCATACAAACTAAGCTGTTTTAGGTAGTTAAAAAAAAACACCAAAACCCAAAAGGATTTTGATGCATTTTGACGATATTATTTCACGGACAAATCAAATATAAAAATATGTGTTGTAATTACCTTTTTTGTCAACAACGACGAAAGTCTCCCAAATTACAGTTTACATGTGTATTATGATTGAAAATTGATGAAATCTCGGAAAAGTTTTCGTTTTTCAACTGGCGATTTGGACCAAAAATATAAATGGCTCCTGCACAACTTTCAATTGTAAATGAAGAGTACACTATCCTCTATCACCCAGTGTTTTCCAACTTTGAAAATTAAAGGTTGGCGCTTGGGTCGGGGGGCACTCCTGCGAGCGCGGAGCGCGAAGCCCTTACGGCGTGGGGTATGGGGCCCGCTTAAGGGCCCCGGGAAAATTTTGGATTCTAGATGCTCTGTGGTGCAATCTGAGGCGATTCTCCAGGCCAGTTCCCCCGATTTTTTTAGCATTCAAAAATTTTCTTTTCAACCTAAAGCAGACTTCTCTCAGATCAAATGACACCTTTTTGTAATTTTGAAAAACAAAATGGGATACAAATTACGTTTTTTTAACGCGATTTTATGGGTGGTGCCGGTGCCGGTGCCGTGCGATCGTCATCTTTATTTTCATGTTGCGTTTTGTCGTTGTCATCGTCATTTTCCCCCCAAATTTCCCTCTATTTATGACCTACCTGTATGTTCTTAAATGTCGCCAACTAGTTTGGTAAGTCAAATAAATTAAAAGTGGATTTTGTTCTCTTAGGGAACCGGGCCCATACACGATCGCCATTTATAACTTTTGACAATCGGCATGATCGGAACACCATGTGCACGCGTGTTTTGGCTTCGAGCTCGTTTGCCTCGTACAAAAACATCAATGCGTATTGTGTACCGCGCGTGCAATTGCACTGAGAAAAAGAAAGTCGGTTGGCTGCACGTAAGATCTGCCGTACGTACTCCTGCTGGTGTGTGTGTGTGTTCTAATACAGATATATATTTTTGCGGCGGGGTTGTCGCTACTTGAAGTATCGGCACACTCCGGAACTGGGGATTCAGTTGTCAGTGTGTGTACATCGCGCGTACCTATAGTATAGTACGTACAGTGCATGGGGAATCGCTGGTGTTTGCACGGCCGGCCGTGCGTGTGATTGATTCAGCGAGATTTTAAGACAACCCCGATCGGGCTGGGATGACATCGAAATACATTGTTAATGTGTGGAAAAAACAACTGAAATCAATTATTTTAGTTGTAAATGTACACTGTAGAGTCAAAAAAATTAAACCTGGCGGCAGGATTTTAAAGCTTGGCGGGGACTTCTTAAACATGGCGGGCGCCGCAGAAAGCATGGCGGGGCGCCAGGTTTGTTCTACATGTTGGAGAACACTGATCACCTGAAACTTGCCATTTCTTTCGGTCTTTTTTAAGAATCGAATGTACACCTAAAAACAATCAGCACTTGCTTGTGTTGCTATTAAGTATGATTTTGTCAAAAGCAGTTATACAAATGTATTTGGTATCAAAATAAAGCACACGATTTCAACTTTTCACTTGCTTCGCCATCTTGGCCCAACGGTGCAATATCCAGGTACTTGTCATGTTTTACTGATGTCTCAAATGCAGTCTCGTACCATCTGGTGTAGGCTTTTGGGCCATGTGTGCATGACCCCTGGACAAGAAACTGAGGTCAAACAGGGCTCTGCACGTGACACGGCCACTGACTGGACATCATTCAATGCTTTGTTAAAATCCATGATACGTATTGTATATTGCCGCATTTAGGCCCTTTCCCACTGTTTCAAGTGTTAAATATACACGAAATTAACAGTAATATGATTCGCCCCTTGTCTTCCCTTTTTCTAATCTATTTGGATTTCCTCCCTTGTCCCCCCCCCCCCCCCCCTCCTTGCGACATGTATTTTGTAAATTTGTAACAGGCCGAGCAGGCCGGGGCGTGGCGGGGCTACTAATTAAAACAGCAACCAAAGAAAACACACGGTGCATGTACATGCATGTTTTCCTTGTGTTAGTGATATGATCTAGGACCAAAATTTTACAAACATGTACATATACAGTGACAGTACATTGTACGATATCCAAACCTGTTCAGCTGGTTTATTTTATTTTGACTGCTGCCAAAATAAGGTACAACATGGGCTGGAATCCACCATTTTTTCACTCTGAAAGACTACATTCATATTCTACAACCAAGATGGCTAATAGACCTTTATCAGGGTACGCCATCTTGAATATCAAAGCGAGGCATATAATACAAACAAACATGGCGGCGTTATAAGTGTGTGCAGTGAATGAGTGACTCACACAAAGTTACAGCAGATTGACACTCTTATAAATGAATGGATAGCTCAAAGTTCCCGAAACGTCATCAACATTCTAGGTAGGTCACGTCTCATTGTATTTTGAAAAGGATCTTATAAATATAAAGCCCAAAACCAGTGGCTGAACTGAAGTTTCCATGTCTGCGTAGCACCACCATTCAGGTCAGAGAAACAATCAAGACTTTCTATTTTCACTTTTCCATCCGCAGCTTTTTCTGAGCTGAAATTGCTCTGGCTTTGCAGAGAGTACTTACATTATTAGACTATCTGCAAATTGTCATTCACACAGGACATATCATTAACAAGAAATAAAGAGGAACTGAGCCCTGTACGAACGGCTTAACAATTTCTCAAGTTTCATAATCAAGAGGAAATTTTGGCCGTGCATTGTACCCTGATTTGTTTCCGTGCAAATGGTACGGGGCCCTACGAGATAGACACCAGTCTGCTCAACAAATAGACAGGTACCTCGAAGGTCTCATGCCATTTTGCACAGAAAGGAGTTAGGGTACAGTGCGCTAACGTTGGGAAGTGAAAGAGAAATGTTTAATTTTCGTATCAGGCTCCAATTTTCCTCAAATTTCTGGAAAACGATAGCCCTCTAATACAAGTACCTACTAAACAGGTGCAATTTCAGCACAGAAAACGCTGCAGATGGAAAAGTGAAACTAAAAAGTCTTGATCGTTCCTCTGATCTGACAGCAGTGCTACGAAACTCACACATAGAAACGTCATTTAGGCCACTGGTTTTGGACTTAATATTAAGATCTTTCTTCAAAATAAAATAAGGCGTGACCTACCTAGAATGTCGATTGATGTTTCAGGGATTTTGAGCTAGCCATACATCTGGAAGATTGCAAATCTGCTGTAACTTTTCAAGAGTCACGCGATATCTGCACACACTATTTATGCCACCATATTTGTTTGCGCTATATGACTCACTTTTGTTTTCAAGATGGCGTACCCTGATAAAGGTCTATCATGATTTATTTTGCAAACATGATAAAAATGTTGGTGTTCTTACCCCTAACTTGCTGTTCCAGACTTGTAATGACAGAGACTGCTTGATGTAAGATGGAGAGCTTAGTTTGAGCCTTGTCGCTCTTGAGATGTATGCATGTCATACGGCCAAGCTCTTTAAATGCCTCGTTGATGTCACGTACTCTGATGCGCTCTCTAGCATTATTAGCATGCCGTCGTTCCTTCTCTTTCATGTGCTTCTGCTCTGGTGTCAACGAAGAATCATCTCCGCTTTCATCACCACTAACGGATGTAAATCTAAATGATTGGACGGGTAGATTGAAACACAAAACATTGAATGGCACTTGCATGTGTACATGTAATACTCTAAATGTGTAATAACTACATGTTGAGTTGATTTCATGTCAAGTGCCTATTTCACTGACATTCAACCATGGCAGCACTGATGTCAATTATCCATGAAACTACAATAGGAACCAATAAGACACCTTTCAGCATGAACACTCAATATACTCCCATCAACATTGAAACACTTGACTCACTAGTTATTTACAACGGCAGTGAACATGAAAAAGCTGTGATTCTCTACTGCCGTGTCATTTCTTTACCATCATTGCTGTGATTAGAATGCTCTTGCAAGAACCATACCAATTCATTGAATAAAACTCGACTGTTTATCTGTTCAGCCTGACCAACCAGCCTAACATATATCAAACTAACAACGCTTCATATTTCACTTAGCAGAGGGTTTATGTCAGTGAGACTCTCAACCAGTGCTTTGCTTCCTGTGATGTTCATTTGCAATCTTGGAGAATACTTTCATATACGATATCTAGATATTCCTGAAATGGTAATGACTGGGTCAAATACGTAAATGAATGTCTCCATCCCTGGCCAATGAAGACTAGGCATTAAGGAAATAGCATTAAGGAAATAGAAGAAATCCAAACTTAACTCATCATACTGCTTTTTACTCTTGGGTGCTGGCACCGTTTCTTTCCTTGTGCTTTGTGTTGTTGATGGATCGTCACATTCAGCCATTTTATCGTGACTATCTTTTGAGTTGTTCAGCTTCAGCTTAGGGTCACTTGATGGACTTGTTTTGGGCTTCTTCGGTTTGGGAGCAGGCTTGTGGTCTGTGTCCATACTCTGGCTCATCATATCCCCTTGCACTCCTGCTGCAAAACAAACACAAACAACATCATTATTAAAGATCAACAAACAGTCTGAGTACAACTTGTTTTGAGTGGAACCGAGTCTATTAACATGTTTCGCATAACTAAATGCTGAAGTCAATTTAAAAAGTACACATGCAAATAGTCATTCGCACAGAGCATAGTAAGTATGTGACATTGCAATTAGCACCAGTTGGCCACATGGGTACACAGTCAGCTTGGAATTGACTTTGTGAATATATTGCCTAAAGCCATTCAGTTAAAATGATTAATGTTTGCAACAGAGAATCCTATTCTATGATACTATTCCATATGTTAACACCTCGCCCACAGATTCTGTGTATTGATTGGCCAAGAGTCAATATTTGTATATATTATATCCTATTCTATGATACTATTTTCATGAGGTCATACGTGTCACAACATCAACTTAGACAAGGCAGTTTTGGCAGCCACTTGACATGTATGCATTGGCTTTAAGGGAATCCATACCCTATTTAATTAGGTAAAAATTTAGCAGAAGTTTCACACACCTTTAATACATGAAAATGTTAAGCCAATGCTTTACAAAAGTGTCTGCGTGCCCAAGTGAGATTTAGTTTTCATGTACTAGCTCAAAAACTAGACGTTGTTAACCATTTTGTTCAACAATTTTACTTCATGTTTTACGAAACACCCCTCTGACTATAATATGGAATGCCCCTCCACAATTGCGTGCGCGTCTCGCATTCCACCTCCATGGTCGCGCGTACTGCGGGATGTCGCGCAAAACGCAGCTGGGCTGGTGTAGTGAGAATTTCGGACCATGAAATACTGATTCACTTGTAGTACATTGCGCGTGCATACGTGAGGAATGTGAACGTTCAACCAATGAAACGTTAAAAGGCACTGGATTTCATGGGAGTCCAAATTTCATGTGATACTGGAAAAGTGTTTAAGACCAGCTAGCCATGTCTTTATCATCCGTTTAAGACCGGCCACGTGACGGGCTCTCGACCAATAGGAATGCGTAAACTGTCTTAGGTATTTATGAATGTATATTTATATGACATACTAGATACCGTAATTTTCGGAATATAAGCCGCGGCTTATACGTTGAATTTGCCCATGAAAATGTTTACTGCGGCTTATACACAGGGCGGCTTATACGCCGAGCCTTGAAGAATAAAAATAAGATTCACAGGTGTATTTAATGTACTGGTACAAGAAGAGATGTGTTGCTGAAATGAATGATAAATTAAGAAAGTCATTAACAAACCGAAACCACGTCTCACGTAAAGGTACCGAGCGATAAAAAGTACGGTGATGAAAGTTGTCTTCGACACTTGCAACCAGCCGTACGTGATACTGGTTCAGTGCAGCAGCGATATGAAGCATGCTTTCCCCCCAGCGGACCACACCATTTGTGGTAATAAAGGGGTGTTCTTTCTTGGGAACAATAATTACCAATATTTCCGCTGTTTAAAAAAAAAAGAAAAAGACGACTAAAATTTTTATGGCGTTCGAAACATTTTTTTATTACATAATCAGTTGTTCAACGTCACAATATATTTTGTTTTCTTGAAATGTATTCAAGAAACGATGTAAAACTCAAAAGAGGGACTAAATCACCCCTTACAAAATTAATGGATTCGTCTATTAAAATGTCCGCTTCGTTTTGACTATTTCCGAAGAAAGTTACGATCGAAACTTGAATTTTTATCGCAACTACTCGTTAGTAATCGCAACAATTTGATATATTTTGAGGTAAAAACGGACCTGTTTAATCTTAGGACAAAACAAATCAGCATCTGTTGCCACAAAGCAAGATTTGTAGCGCTCCAGTCAGACAACACACGGTGGGTTTCATACTCTCTCACGTGCTGTGGGAAAATGTTGTCATTCACCGGCGTGCGTGGCGCAGGCTGCCGGGCTATGACGGGGCAGCCGGCAGCAGTTCCCGGTGTTTATTTCTCATCAATTCCCATATTTGTTTGTAAAAGTATCGATTGTAAATGATTTGATATAACTTTGTGGCCCTTTTAATAGCTTCTGTAGTGTAAATGGAACTGGTTCAGAGCATTTTGACTAGAATTTGGAGGCCTTAAAAAATTGAAACCGCAGCGGTCGGTGCGGCTTATACGCCGGTGCGGCTTATACGCCGACTTCAAATCTTAATTTGCAGATTTTTGCGTGCTGCGGCTTATACGCCGCGCGGCTTATATTCCGAAAATTACGGTAGTTGCTGGCCATTCAAAAATGTACAAAGTACCGGTAAAATGTATGAGATGTGATTATGAAGCACTAATTCCCTGTAATGTTTTGTATATTTACTGGGTTTCTCAGAGATTGTCGATTTTTAGTAATTTAAAACTATACCTCAGTTTGGGTGAATGAAAGGCACCATTTCTAAAATGTTGGTTCAGTTCAAACGTTTAGGAAGAAATTATTATTATTTGTTTTTTTTTTCTGATGCTTGCGACTCCCTCACAGTTGTATATTTGCTCTCAATTTGCACTCTTTGAGATATATCTATGAATGCTTACAAATTTTGGGATTAGATTCTTCTGATTGTGAATGATGTATAACGGAAGAGAATTACTTTTTCAAAATCAAACTTGGCATTTTTTCTTTCTTGAGCAATATTGTTGCCCTTCATCAGAGGTTGTCACTGTGTGACCATCCGGTGGCACAAGCCAGACAATGGTTCCACACGCGACTCAGCATGTAGCCATCCTCAGAAGACCGAGAACATTAACAGGGACAGTAACAACTTCTGATGACGGGCAACGATGTTGCTTGAAATGTACAGTAAGTATGATTGTGCAAAACTAACTTTGCTATTTTTCTTCGGTTAATGTTTTGTTCACAGTTGAAAGATGTGTTGTCCATATATTTGTACTTCTTGGGCCTAGTTTACTGTCTATGTTTATTCATAGTCATATGATAGTATATCATGGCATTCTGGTATTCCAATTATCATGTTGTCCATACACGTATATTGTTACATTCCTAGTAAACACACTATCCATAAGGCAATCAGCTACAGAATTATCGTTTGGAAAATGAAAATACAGAATTATCGTTTGGAAAATGAAAATACAGAATTATCATTTGGAAAGTTTTGAAAAGGTGTTGGGATTTCGGTGGAACACCTAATGAAGAAGAAGAAGAAGAAGAAGAAAAAAAAAAAATCCTGATGCAAAAAAAGAGCCATGCCAGACAACAAATATGTTGGATGACTTGCAGCATTGTGTATATACCCTTGGGTGTAGATGTTAGGCAGCCTAGACAACATACAGGGTGATGTTTTATGTCAAACAAACACACACACACCCCCACTCACTCGCATCCCTATGCTAAAAACACTGAACTACTTTTTTCTTTTTCCTGCTGTGATGCAGGTCTTCACCACCTCAAACTTATTAATGAACAGATCTACAACCCACATATTCCATTACTCAATATCTTATTTGTTCAATATATCATGGTTGGTGACATGATGAAAACTTTCAGTACTTTTAACCAAAGAGAAGAAATTCTAGTTTCTCGTATCCATAAAAGCCAAACGGCTATGGCTCACTAAGAGCTCTCTGATAGAAGTTGACATGGTATTTGTCATAAGCGCCATGAGCCCCTTTTTAGGCGGATTCCGGTGCTTTACAAAATATTCTTTATTATTATTCTATTAATTGAACAGATTTCAAACCACACATATGCATACATGTACTGTTTAACAGGATGAGTAACATTACAAGAAATGTCAGAGACACACAAATACTGAACCTGTATACATACATTAGTAGATATCTTACCATTGAAAGGCTGTGTTTGGCTCATCTCAGATGCAGACACAGGTCCTGCCACTGCATTCCTTTCCACAGATGGTGACCCTGACTGAAAGCAACACAAACATCTCAATATTAATCAATGTGTCCTAGCTTGACAACAGTGTCATCATAAGTGCAAATGTCTCTGACTACAAGGATATATTTGGTCAATTACGGTTCAACTAACACTACATAATAAGATGATGAAAAGTTGTCTTTAGCTTTTCCCTGTAAATCTTGGAAAGCATATTCATGTACATCTGTATCAGAGATGCCAAGATCACACAAAAGCTTGGCGTGTGACAGTGCAAGCAGCGAAAGCCCAAATTCAAAAACATTGGCATCCGGACATTGGGTACAAAATCAGCTGAGAATAATGTGGCCCACTTTAACAAATCTCAGAAAATCCCAAGTTAGCATTCAAGGATTTCTTTAAGGTTGACAAATTCTGATAAATCACATCAATACAAGGCCGTCAATCGCTCGCTTCTCAAAAATGGAGTGGGAGACATACCTTGATCAGAACAAATGCGAGTGCTGAGCCCCAATGGTGAGGCAGGCGGGCCCCAAAATTTTGGGGGATTTCAGACACTCTGTGGTGCGATTTGAGGCAATTTCTGACCACTTTAACCATTTCTTTTAAAGCAGCAGATCATCATTTAAACATCATTTTCAAGTTTGGAGTAATTGAATCAGCTATTCTGAGCTATAGAATAAAATGTAGGCTATTATTTTTATTCGGGGACGAACAAAGTGGAGGGACAAACGATATGATGTCACCCCACATTCAAAAGTCAGGGGGGGGGGGGGAGGGGTTGTCCCCCACCGATCGACACCCATGCATCATTAACTCCACTCTGTAGGCCCTACCTAAATACAAGTTTGACAACAACTTATTTTCTTATTTTTGAAAAATGCCATAATAAAAATTTTCCGTTAACTTTATTATGGGTATGTAAACTCAAGATTTATGAAAGGGGATGCTTTGAGCTTGATGAAATTTCACTTGCCTGTGAAATTTGAGGTGAACAGTTTGCTCTACAGCAAGGCACGAGAGGCAACAAATCAAGGAAGGCCATGTTAGGGGCCGTGCCACATTAGGAACCCCTCCACTCCAGGAATGATTGCACAACACATTGTTGGCACAACACATTGTTGGCACATGCTTGATGCGATCGTACTGTGAGTTTACTGCAGGAGCGCAGTGCTGAACATAATCTTGTTACAAGGCCATTGGCTGGCCCTGGGGATGAGGGTGTCTCTACCCTGCGTGGCGATATATAATTATGATCTTCGCGTAGAAACGAAGTCGCAAAATTGCATTGCTTAGCCTCAACATGAAACATGTTTCCGTATTCTTGGCCCGAAAATAACCTAAAAATAAAATTTATAAACAATTTAGCGTTAGGCGTGGGAGTAACTTTTGTCTAGCGTGTGAGCGTGTGAATTGACTCTGAGGCATGTGACTTGGTAGATCTGTTGTATGTGTCAATGAAACACTTTAATGAAGGGTAATTGACATCATTTGCAAACATCCAACTGCCAAAATATTATGAAATATCCTACTTGATTGTAAGTAAATAATAGAATCAAACGTTCTGTGAAATCAATGTGCCTAGTATTCTGTCATTTCCTGGCGATGGTTCGGACCAAACCAGAGCGAAAAAAGAATTGCCCATTTTTCAAATACTGCCCCAAATTGACAGAAAATAGTTTAGTGACATGTACATATTGGTTACATATACGTGAATGAGATCCCCCCCCCCCCCCCCCCCCCCCCCCCCCCGAGTGACAAACTGGGGATCATACCACAAGAGGATGCAAGAACAAGGGAAACTTGCTTATGCATTTTCAGAATTCTCTCAAAAAGTACATGCATATCTACTGAGCTGAAATTTGAACAGGTTTATGTTTGAATCATTCATTCAGTCAATCACTCAGGCAGTTCCAATTCACTTTGTCCATGTTTCCCCTTACAGACTTGCAGTAAATTGTGCCATACACATGTTCTATGGTGTGAGCATGACATGTTTATTTCATCAGTCATTATACATGGTAAGGTTCCATACCCTCAGCACCATTTGACTCAATGTCCTATAGGTCCATGGCTAACTATTAAAGAGAAACAGCTACTAGGACCTTATTTCAAATGGCTGGACACAGTCTTTGTGGAACAGACAGATTAGTTGTGCAAGCTTAGATGAAAAACTGTTTTGAAGGAAGTGTGTGGAGTTTGGTGTAGTGATTGACATGCTAGAATACTAAGTATAGAGACAAGTAGTCTGGCAAGATGTCTGATTGCTTGACTTCATGGTAAGAAGTCACACTAGGTCATGGACAACATATGTACGTATATCAACATCACATCAAATTAATGATACAACTGCAACCAGATTGGCACCACTGATGTTTTTCCTAAGTAAGGCAGTCAGAAATATAAATGGGCAATTCCACGCGAAAGTGGACATGGCTGAAAAGTGTAAAATTCATGAAATCTTCAGAACTAAATGTGGTATCAAATAAATGGGGACAACAAGACCTTTTAATTGAGTAGTGTGCCATAGAATGTGACATTTAAAAAAAAATAGTTTTTGGGGTAAAAAAAAACCTGGTTTGGGAGCTAAAATTATGGATTTTAGGTAGTCATTTTGGCATCTTGTTTCAAATGCAAATTGCAAGTGTTATTGATAGAGTTTGTTTTTTTAAGGCAGAGAGAAAGGTTCATATTTTATAAAAACTAACACACAGAACTTGGAATACCATGATTCAGCTTTTTTTTATCACGTGTGTGAAAGTAATTTCAGATACGTAACATCCTTAATGTTTAATGCAACTGTCTGTAATGATGATGTTGCCATATCAAAGTAGCTTTTTGTAAAATGTCATTGTTTTTATGGAGTGAAGCAGTATCTACCACAACATAGTTATTTCATTAAATTCTTGCAAGAAACTTCACCGACTTTTAACAATGCATACTGATAAGTCAAAACCTGTCAGAATGCGTAAGTCAAAACCAGTCAGAATGCGTAATGTCCATAACGGTCGTTTACAGAGATTATATCTCATTAATCAATTCACCTAATACTACGTTAACCATGTCATGTTATACATTAAGGCCTAAGCTAGAGTTGTACTGAATATATAAAATTTGCTTTCACTGCAAGTATTTTTTTTGTAGTTTCAAATTGGTCAGTAGGCTTTGAATGTAACATTTGTAATGATGGAAGTGCCCAAGTGCCAAAAACATGAGAAAGGGACATTGCCACAGATAAAGTACTGTATAGATACCACTGTGTTCACAAATAAAATAACAGATAAACAAATTGTTTCGTCACTTTGTAAATTAAAAACCAAAGTAGTTACTAGAAATGGTTTACTTTGGTTAAGTTGATCTTAATAACCATACCAGTTGATCTTAATAACCATACCAGTTGATCTTAACAACCATACCAGTTGGTGGGATTTTGTTTGTATTTGATAACAACAAATGCTCATCATGTTATATCAGCTTCATTACATTTACAGGCCTTGATTCTGTACTATCAGCAGATATTTTTGGTAATGGCTCTGGAATGCTGCACTAGCTTAACTTGAAACTTCTTGACGTCTCCTTACTAATAGAAAACTAAAGTCTCCACATACATAAACGCAACTCATTCAATCAAAATTTTACCTGAAATTCCTTCTTTCAAGAAATACATGTACACATGATCCTCATAATTTACCTATCGGATCAAAGTCCACTTCAGCCTTGACTAATGTGCAGGTTTAGGTCAAACCCATTTGTTCTCAAGGCAAACGGAAGCAAGCTTCCGCTGATGAGATGAATGATTGCACAGAAGATAAAACCACCAATGTATTTTCCATGCAACTGTACATTTAATCACAAAATAGTGCAGACTGGGTCAAGTGAGAGGCACACACTCAGACCAGTTCATGAAAATATCACAAGAAATGTGTTCAATAATGTCCGAACGGCTAACTATATAAAATCATTCCTGACGATACAAACAACCTTATCAATAGCTCCAGCTTGTATATAACTCAATATCATCTAATCATAACTGAGAATTCTGTGCACAAATATCTTATATGCATTTCTTGAATCGTTGCTTGAGGCAATATCCACTTGACTTCATTTTGAATAATGGAGGAACTTGCAGATGTTATGGGTTCTCTGTAGTCGCGGCACAATTGGTTGCAGCCCCAGTACAAAATAAATACAGGCTTAAATGTGTCACCAATTAAATCTCCGGTAAAATTGAAACAGCGCAGCTGTGCAGTCCATCATTAAATGATTATATTCAAATTAAATCCTGATTATTTTGGAGGTAATGCACTTGGACAACACAATGATGTTTCAGTAGCATAGTAGTCCTTTTAAAGTATTGGTGAGAGTGCATGCACTCCAAAATACACGGGTCAGTTGGATTTCAACTTGTATTGCACAGAGCAAACTAGAAAACCTTTTCTATTTTTTTGGTCATGAAACATTTTTGTTTCAAAAGTCTTCCAATTTTAATATCAGAGCTGTTTGTGCTACATGTTGCTGCCTTGTAATTGTTGTCTAGTGTAATTTCACATTGTGTTGACCACTTCGTGCCGGGTTTATTTTTGCTGAAAACTATTTTTGCAAAAGGCAAAATTTCCCATCCAACTTCTGATATACAGCCTAACCCACAAAGACTGATTCGCAAGAGTCATTTCAGTAGTATTTGTACGTATTTCTTGCTGAAACCTCATATGTTTCAATACTCTTGGGTGTGCACTGGAGCGTAAATTGTCCAACAAGAGGCCATGCACAACGGCCAATTCAAGATCAACACACGGTCCGCCTCCACAGACTTCACAGAGTTTGTGTATGTGTACAAAAGACACAAGGGATTAGCGTGTTTAGATGTCACGCAGAGGCGCATCAAGGCAATCTTGACATTTTAACGCGTCAGCCGTGTCTGTGTATAAAAACAGCCAGTGCGTGTTATCACGTCCTCCGACGCGAACTGGATAATGGTACTTATGTATTTAAATTAAAATGATTAAAATTGAAAAAAAAATCATCTTTGTGAT